TTTTTTTTATTTGCAACGCATTTTCTTCATTTGGGGTCATTTATGTGTTCTTGTACAATGTCAAGAACACTCTTTGACTTTCAACTGAAGATTTATGCTCAGTTCAAGCCAATCAGTTGAAATGCAGCCGAATATTAGTACCAGAAGGAGGCGGTCGACCAGCTGACCATTCCTGGCAATTTGCCAATTAGCGTATCGATTTTCCACCAACTTCGCTCCAATGCGAAAAAGGTGAAGGAAAATTCGAACGCGTAGTCAGCCTAGCGAGGGGCGGAGCCCTGACGTCCCCCAATGTTTCTGCCCTAATTGTGCCCTATTCTAACGATTTTCGACCTCTTTCCTGCACAAATGGTATCAAAGGGGGCTTCGAATTCAAACTACATGCAAATCTCCGGAACCACCTTTTCCTGACCTGTGCCTTTAAGTGAATAAATCAATAAGTAAACGAATAATTAAATAAGCTGTTTATGGTTGTATTCAAAACGAGTTTACCAGCCCTGGAACGGATAATTGCACTGGGATTAGCTTCTAAAACGGTGGACCCTTCTGTGGTTCGACTAAACTCATTACGGCTTGAAACACGATATACACGAGCGGAATCGCAAGACCCTCTAGAGAACCATGTCCATACACTGCTTTCCGCTCATACCGTAATTGTTACATTACTTAATTTTGGGCCAGCACCATATTAATAACATTGCTCAAACATTGCTAGTTGCTCTTCCTCCATATACCACGTTTTTTGTTTTTACATTTGTGTTATAACACATACTATGTATACTATTGCATGTCTTTTTCGCTACCCTTACTCACCGGTGATCCTCAGGGGTTAGCGAAAACATGATTTGTTTGGATAAGAGGTGACACATCAGTACTTGATGTTTTTTTGACTGCTGTTATATCGCCGCAGTACGCGTCCGAAAGTCTCACAAGGTTGACGGTTCGAGTCCCGTCCGAGGCTGAAGTTCTGTCCATAAATCGCCAGCTTTGTGAAAATCAGGTACTGTTTTCTCCCTTCCTTTCTTCAACACCAGAACCTCTACACTATTCCAAATCTGAATTACTCTCTTCTCGCTGCATCTGTAGGCTCAAACTTTGACCAGAGACGGCTAGCTAAGAATTTAGGGATTTCGTGATCACCCCGAACAAGGCTTCTTCACAAACCCATGACTTTTTACATCGCAGAAATTAGCTCGATAATCATTCAGTGGATTCACTGAATATTGTTGTTGTAGCTGCCTACCTCCTGGACGGCGCGGAAACTTCTGATAGCAATACCCAATGTTATAAGTTGATTGCACAAGTTCATTTTCGTAGGTGTCAGTTGAATGTAATGCTGGGTACATTAATTGTGATCATGAGATTGCAAACACTTTATTGCTGCCAATCGGTGCAAACGTCAGTAAAAAACAGCACATTCGATGGCATCCAGACGATCCAGACTCTGTAAACATAGTGTACAATTAGTTTTTTGCTAAGAATTTATGTCTACTAAATTTGACACAATTGATTAATACATGGGTAACATGGCTTTGACTGAAGGATCACAAGCTAGCCTCATAGATGAGCTTTTCGCACTAAGCCACCTCACATTCAGCCATGGAACCGCTAATTCACCTACAGTGGAAACGAAATGGTGTTCGTTNCGTGCACGGTTGTGGTATGTCGGTCGAAAATTTACTACTGTTCAACATTTTGACTACTGCCCCACGTTCTTCTACAATTCCTTCCCTTGATGGATAAGTTGAGAACACCACGATGAGAAAATGTTCTACTTCCTTTTTAATTTATAATTACTATCGTTCAAAAAGAATGTGTTTCTCTCAAGTCGAAATTGTATCCCTTCATTAGCCAACGTTTCGGCCAGCTTCGCCTTCGTGAGGGCCTGAAGTGGTCCAAAGCATATGTGGTTTGCTCACTCACACGCCTCAACAGGAACCCCAAGAAGGTCCAGCTAGAACAGCAAACTCCCAACGGCACTCATCGAAGAGGTAGACACTGCTTAACTTGTAGTCCACCGCTAAGGCAGAACGACCACCCTTGCACTAGCTTAACTTGGAAGGGACAAGAATACCTCTGTCTGTCTCACCGTAGTTCAAAAATCACAGAGGTCGAGGGAAGATGTCAGTTCACGGGTTACGGCTACAAACTCATCTTTTCTGTTCATTTGGGGGTCTTTGGCAGTGTTCCAAGGCGCTTCCAGTGTCTTACGCGCCGCGATCTTGGGTTCAAGTGCCAACATGGACACGGAAACGTCAAAAGATTAATTCTGCGTGGTACAAAACCCGACGAGCTCCTAAGTGGGTATACATTCTTGATACAGTCACCCATTTAGATGTTCTATGACACGAACGTACAAAGGGCGGCTTGTTACTCCTATGTACTCACATACACAGCTTTGACAGCGTACAGATTAGACCACTCCCATTTTCATGCCGTCACGCTATCTGCCATGGGACATACCCCACAAGTAGGAGTGTTGCATACGGTGATACAATAAAGTGATACAATCTTGGAAGGCTTGACAGAAACACATTCGTTTAAGACAGTTTTTCACAATGATCCTGCAAACCCAAAAAAGCGTTGGACTTATCGGGGAAATGTTTCTTGAAGGCACAGTTCACGATAAATGGTGGCTGAGAAGTTTCTGATGAATCTGTGGCGTCGCAGTATACCATATGTGACGCTATCAGATTGGTAAACAGCATACAGGGTGTTATAATGGCTCAGGGACTGTATCGTGTGAATGCCACACCAATAGCGGACGAGTTTCAGCGGCGCTGTAGAGGTTGCACTTTCTCAAGAGCCTCCTCTGTTGGGAAATCAAAGAACTAGTCGTGATCCATGGCGACAGTGAAGGGCAGTTTTGAACGCTTTTTGTCTAATGTTGGCATCTCTATACGCAATTGCTGCGACAGAAGTCTCGTCCGAGTATCTTCTCTACCACTCCCATGGTAGTCTCGCACAACCACTATTTCCACTGTTTTTGAGAAACCTCATTTTTTGCCGAAGTCGACGGAATTTTCCGCTTCCTTCGCCATCGATGCACTATTCTCTACCGATTTTCGGTTTTCAACTGAGATGTGTTTCAAAATTATCATGCTATTATGAACTGTGCTTTCAAGAAAGGACTTCGAGTATCTGGTAAGCCCAGTTTCAGCCTCAAAATACGAAATTTGAAGCATACGGGGAACGGAAGGTAAATAGCTGTAAATAGACTGTGATCTCCAAGGTGGTAGAAGCTAAACTTAGGAGCATGTAGATGGATTCAGGAAAGCCTGAAGATTCCAGAAGTGCCATGCCAAATCGAATGGAGTGGCGAAACGTTTTTGATGGGTTGTCCTTTAAGTGACCTATACGGCAGTTCACATGAGAGTTCGCGCATAGTTATAGTAATGAGCCGTTTTGAACCGAATGATTACATGGGACAAAATTTAGAAACTCATTGTTATCCGGAAGTAGTTACTTAGGAATTTGGTAAACGAAAACAAACCAAAGAATTACGAAAACTGATCTTTACCCATGAACAGCTATACTCACTGTTTTGTGGACTTTCGTAGCCAATTCACTTTAGTTTAATTCATTAAGAGATCTCATGACAAAGCCGAGACGTAAGGACGGTAAAATGGACATATAAGAATGAAGGATAAAGTATTTTCCTTATACAACCCCGTTTTTGGTGTGCGTCCCCGTATTCCAGTTCCATTTAAATTTGCGTAGCGTTTTAAATTGGCTTCTCACACGAAAGGCGAAATCTTACGGACCTTGCTGACTCTTCCGTGCTTTGGATCGTCAATGGTGAGCTGAAAGAGTCGGAAACGGCTTTCGCGACAGTCCTTATGGATCACATTTGGCACAGGAACGAACAGCCGACTGCAACTGTGAGCCTAATAAAGTGAAATATACCAACGACGTAATCGAAACAGTACCGGCTCAGCCCTCCTTGTCGAGCAATTTTTTCATGGGAATCACTGATGAAAGGGAAGCTGTGCTGCTCTACTGGGACCTGAATGAACTTCTGTAAAGTGAGCCATAGGCAATGTGAAAGCTCGCTTTTCACAAATGATACCTTTCCGATACATCTATGAAAGATGACCTCCTTTTTGTGACCGTGTAGATTCACCACACTTCGGTATCGCCATAGGCAGCATTCCTGGTTCCTGAACGTTCCATTTTACTCATTCCGGTTTGCACAATTTTTATGAATTTTTTCACCCAGAGATCTGTTGGAATTGGTCAGTTACCGAATATCGCTGGAGAACCTCTGAAATCACGCCATAATCTCTGCTTTTGCTGAAATCGACCGATTCATGGCTTCTTCATCCGGGAACTTTTGCAAAAGTGCGCGGCACCAGTATTAGTAGTAGTATGTACGTATATCTATAGAAACCAGCGAGCGACAGCTCAGGAGGAGGGAAGGGGAAGCAACGGGAGACAGTGGCAGGGACCAGATCTTAAAAAATGTCGATTGTTACTCACTAATACAGGTGAGAATTTCCTTAACTCCTTCAAAAGGTAAAGGAGGTCCTCATTGGATTAGGATTTCCGCTAACTAGTATAGCATATTCTTATGAAGAAGTGATTTGTTGAGCATTTGAAATAGGCGCATATTGATGTAACCCACGTAGACTATTGATCCAAAAAATAAAAATAAAAGAAATAAAGTTTTCATTGTTCCTCAAGCAGCGACTATATAGCTAATGATAAAGGAAAGTTTTTTGGCGTTAATCAATCCCGTCTGAGGGATGCGCCACCGCACTCGACTTCCATTCAGGATCGTAGTGGCGCAATGCGTGCGTGTGAGGCCTATACAATGACTTGTGGTGGCCAGCCGATGTACAAGTCAGGGCTTTTATCCTCCCAGACGATCCGATACCATTTGACCATACCCGGAGGGATGGAAGGCTTGGTTGGCCTAGGCGGGCATCTATTCGGGATTCGTACCCCCCGACCGTGCGTGTGAGATAGTGCACCACTTTCAACTACACCACCTGCGCCCCTGTAGCGAATTATAGCCGATGCCAATGTTGAACAAAGACAGATGAGTCTTTGAAGTGCAGTTCACGATAATTATGATATAACTCGTCCAAGTGAAATAAAAGAGGTCTGGTGCAGAGTAGAGCAAGAATGGCAAGAAAAAGCGCAAAATCAGTGGGCTGCCATGGATATAAGGATTTAAAAAGCAGTGGGAAAAGAATTTGCGCACGATTATGACGAAATAAGCGGCAAGGAAGGGGTATTTGGATGAGACGTAAGCTGCCGAAATAGTGTAAAGTTGGCTATAAGTGTCAAAAACGGCAAAAAATTGTCATCCACTGAGCTATTTGGTAACAGACGGCGTTGTTCTTAGTACAAGAAAGTGGACCTTTGAAAAACAGAGGAAGGCGTATGATTATAGGTTCCGTATATATCCGTTGCCTTTTATAATCGTCTGATGCCTCACATAAGCGTACGTACGTCAGCGTCTGAGTGCTTCATTGTGAATGGTTCAGCTTTAACGAGCCCTCATGATACGATCACTTTTGAAGATGTACGTTAGTCAACACAGTTTTTGAGCCCTCATAAAGCTCTTTCGAGGTCGCTTTTAGGCCAGGGTGAATCATGTCGCGTGCTATCCTTGGGGGCCACAGGGGAAACCTCAGGATCCATTTTTATCGTGAACTCCGTCTTTAGGCAGCACTTTGCGAGTACTTAACTGGAGGGAATTACTGTTTTTGCAATCGACAACACATTTTCTGAAAGCATAGTTCGCGATAAAAATGTTCCAAAATTTTTTCCCAGAATGAACATGTAACCCCGAAGAATTGCACAAAGGACGCTGTCTGATCGGAAAACGGCCTAGATGGGGCATAATAGGGGCCCCAAAACTTACTTAGACGACTTCACAACCAGAAACGGCGAATTCTCACGGCGATGTTGAGGCTGCTGAGGTTGACAGTTTGTACCGGGACGCTTACGTTGCATGCGAGTAGCTTACTGTAGCTGACTTACGTAATGGCGCACACATTTGAACAGCTCGTCCAAATACTCCTTAAACGCAACTTTTGCCGTTTTCGTCCAACCCTTAAATTTCCTATTTTCTGAAGATTTATATTTCTCTAAGTACGTCCATTCCAGCATCTCCCTCGCCCAAATTACACTTTTCTGTTTTTGCAAACGTACCTTAACAGTGATGGAGTGCAGGTTCTAGTAATGACCTGTCGCTTTGTTTCGTGGTACGAGTCAGCGGTTAATGTTGCCTTGAACATTCGTTGATTATAATATAATAAATACAACAAACACGTAGCTATTCTACTACTCATAAGAATCATCAACAGAGGCTCCTCAAAACTGAAGAAAGACCGGAATATTGGGTCATCGTCGCTTTCATAGCCCTACCAGAGGACCTTTTTTGAAAAACACCTATGGTCCTGGAAACCACCACCAACCACCACTACGGACACCCTTGACTTAGTTTTAGCTTGAAGAATTTTGGGTTTGACTAATATAAGTTCACTAGGTAGGATGTTCACATGTACACCCCCTCGTCCTTTCCACTCCTTTGAGACCGGCTGATCCCGCTGTTCTAAAGTAATAACACCCCCATTCCCAGAAGCAATGGTGTGGGAGAGGCATCAGCGGTTTATATGCTACGCGGGACAACTTGAAAACAACTGCTTTAATGTTAGCACCAACCTTATGGCTGTGTGGTACCAGATAGGCATTGTTCCATTTCTGATCAAGAATCAAAGCGACACCTCGGAGAGAGAGATTCGAATTGAACTGATGATGCTAGAACTTTGACAAGTAATCTCGAAAGTTATAGCTATTCCATTAGGTACCAAAATTTGTATAAAAATAAAACTGTACGAAGCTGACCGCGTACATGTCTGTACTCCATGAAGTCGCCATTATGAATTAGATCACTTTGATAGATTGTTATGGGAAGAAGTCGCAGGAAATTAAAACCTGCAACGCAGGTTTTTTGAGGTCTTATTGTATTATATCGTATTTGTATTATTGTATTGTATTATTGTATATATTATATATATTTAATATTAATTCTCCACTTTTGGATTAGCAATCAAGTTCCAGCTCGTTCAACACATCAAAAAATTTGGTCCGATAAAAACTAGTTTTTGGGTAAAGGAGGCAGCAGGGCACCTTATGAATTCGTACATATCCTCGGTAGCCTATTTCTCCTTCAGAAGGGGAAACTTCTCTCTATGAATCCTTTTGTGGACCGTAAGCATCTGTTTGTGCCTGAATCTCACGGTGAGCCTAAGATATATCACAGAGCGAATCGAAAGGTTGGGGTTCTCTCCCTATCAGAGAAAAACGTAACAAAAACTGTAGACGTGGGAATAGCCTCGGCATCTGATACTTGTGAACCAAACTGCGCTTAAGCCAACTGATCATTTTTCGTTCGAATGGGGGGAGGGAAAGGAAGGGAGAGCGATGCTACACATTTCTAAATCGAGTAGGTACTGAAATCACCACGCTATCGAATATTCCCGCGAATACAATGGAAGACTAATCATGCATTCACTCCTTCTCATATTTCAATCGTATTGACCAGATCTGGGCGTTTTCCCCTTCGAGCGTTGTTCACGTGAAAATGAAACACCTCATGCTGATCCTTTTTGCGGCGCAGCAACGTTGCGGATTATCGGTGAGCTCATTGCGAGCTACGTGAGGGCACGTGTGACAATGATAGAAATCTTCATTCCTTTAGTTCCTGAGTGTAGGAGGATAGGAGGAGGATAGGATTGTTATAATGCTGGTGAATGATGCTAGCCGGAAGTTAACAACAGGAGTTGATAAGGGAGTAGGTGTAACGGATTGTGCGAGGAGTGGTATGATAGAAGTAAAGAAGATGAAGGGGGTGGGGGGAGAGGGGAGTGGGGGAGGGGGAGGGACACCATTATCTGCATAGAAATTTGCAAACACATTGCCACCGTTGGTTCCGAGTGGAGTGGGGGGTAGCCGATAAAGCAGCCTACGTAGAGCAGTGAGTGGGAACACCTTCGTTAGTGGGTGGACATAACCCAAGGCTGGGAAGATAAAAAACCTCACGATGAAAAATCACTCAATTCCGAGTCCTTAGCAGACGTGAATGAACACCAATTAAAAAATAGCGTTTATGGTATGTTCACATCAGGAACATCTGTCAAAAAATCCAAACCTTCGTAGCAAAAAAGGATAGGCACGTCTGGCAACCGGCGTCCATTGCCGATGCCACGGAACCATAAACGCGGGATTGACACGACCACGCTGGAAGACATACACTGACAATCACATACAGAACGTGCTTCATGCAACACGAGAGCTGTACTTTCTCAGCTCAAAACTTTTCTGGAGTGTTCATAGACTCGGGTTATTTTTTCAAGTATGAACACTAGTTTTGCGAATTTCGAGGTTGAACATGGCGCGATGCTTTCAAATTTCGAATCGTCTTATAGGGATAGAACGATTTATTTGGTTACTTCAGAACTATAGAAATTTTTAGGTTGGCACATGATTTCCGGACCGCCTTGAGCATTTTTCGCTCCTATTTTCCTTGTTTTTCCACCAGAAATGTTTAGAAAATCCTATATGCACCGTTATCTGCGACGAAGGACCAACGCTTGGGTAGTTGTCCAAATACTCTGGGAGCCGTCTTTTGTGCATAAAATGACTGGATGCCGATTTTGAATTCAGGAAGGAGGTCAAATTCTTTCATTAAGAAAATTAACACGGTTTTTTTCCTATTTACTTGATGGCCACGCGGTTGAGCCGTGCACCATGAATTCCTCGTTTAGAGAATCCCAGCGAGCAACTCCTCCCTATCATACTAACACAATAATGACCTCCGTTGAATCAAATTAGGCTTCGGCTATAAGAACTCCAGCACCGTAACCAATGCCGCTTGCGGGGCTGGTCGGCGGTTGGATACCTAGTAAAAGGTGCCACGAGAATTTAAAGAGAAAATGGCAGCATCAGATCGTGTGAGAAGGTGCTGGTGGCTCAGCACAAGTGAGACTCAAAGGCTACATTTCTAGATTCTCTCTAATTTATGAAAGAGTATCAGTATAGTCTGGTTGATGCGTCCGAAGCTCTCTACCGATCATAGATTGTTCCGCAAGGGATGCTGCTCAACAACACCACGAAAAAAGAGCGAAACTGAGTTTACGTGAACGGCCAGAGTATGTATTTGCTTCATGAGAAAACACAAGTTTTTTTTCGGAAGCACCGCCGATACGACATTATTTCTGTGAAATTTGCCCTCATCGGTGATGTGATTAATTTAACGATCGGCATCAGTTTCAGATAAATTTAATATCCAGAAAATATGGCCTCGTACGTTTTTTTTGCAGAAATGACGCCATCCATTTTCAGATTGGAAAGTTGTTTACAGTTCACAAGCAGAACTCGGAGCACAACGGTTCTCAGAAGATTGTCACAGCAATAATTGAAGTGGTCCGTAAAATACATGCCAACGTAACAATTCCGAGAAGAGATAATCAAATTACTGATATAGCTTTTCTGTTTAAATCGTTTTCAAGATTTCTCCACGTAATGCCCTCTACAGCCGCGAAATGTGGAGTTTAAAGGCACAGTTCACGATAACTCAAAGGTACTCTATTTAAGTGGAAAAGCGGGAGTGAAGAGCAAAGCATCCGAGGCAAAAATAGCGAGAAAACGCGCAGATCCTACGATAAACAAAAGTCCCCAAAAGTAAAGTCATGAAGGTGGACGAGATTGCCATAACGGAAATGGCATGGAAGTGGTATTAGGATAAAGTTTTGGTTGTTGGAGCTGCGTAAAGAGTCTAGTAAATTGAACCAAAAGTGTTTGAAACTACCTCCCACTGTCGCTACGCGTCACATCTAGTTGATTAAATTTCCAACCTCTACAATGTCGTTAAACTCGTCCACCTATGGGCGTGCAACCCAGCCAATAGAATCCTTAAGCTCTTATGAAACTCTATGCGAGCCATTTTTTCGATCTGATAGCGCCAACATGGTATACACAATGGGCATAAAATCATTCTAAAGAGATTACTGGAGGGATACGTTTTCATCTGAAGGGATATCTCGGACACCATTTTTATCGTGTACTGCGTCTTTCGTGAATGTAAATCTTTCATGGAATTTTGTCAAATGTGGGCACATATAAACAGATATTATTAAGGTTGAGGTTCTTCAGATTTGCTGTTTTTCGAACTACGTACGTTTTTATGCTCCTTTAACATCACCTTTTTGTCTGAATTATACCCACGGGCTTACTTTGCCAGCCCATTTGGCAGTTCTTGGGCCGGTGAGAAGACAACGGCATCTCGCCTTTTTATTGGTACGTGCCTCAGTTGCTTCCGTGCCAGCGCTCCACAGAACGCCGACACATTTGCTCCACGATGGTGAACTGAAATGGAAATAGGGAAATGACAACTAATAATGGGAGAGAAGAGAAAGTAATTATCCACTGGAAACGGATCACAAGGGAGACCCTCACTAACCTCCGAAGATGTAATGTGTGTCGTAAGTTTTTTCCTGATCGTTCCGTACCTCCCTGTANGCCAGCGCTCCACAGAACGCCGACACATTTGCTCCACGGTGGTGAACTGAAATGGGAATAGGGAAAATACAAGTAGTAATGGGAGAGAAGAGAAAAGTAATCATCCAGTGGAAACGGATCACAAGGGAGACCCTCACTAACCTCCGAAGATGTAATGTGTGTCGTAAGTTTTTTCCTGATCGTTCCGTACCTCCCTGTAATCGCAAACTATTCTTTGCTGTAATTGTAAACAATTCTTTGCCAACTATGAGGGTTTATATGAGGGTTCCATACGCACACTCTGATACCTCTTTCCGAAATTCTAACGTTGTCCTTCCCACTGCTTTTCGTCAGTTCTCCAGAGGATTTCTTATGCACCCACTCTGATGGTTTTCCCCTCAGGCTCATCCTGACCCTCACAGCTTTGGGCTTTCATCTCCAAAATAGTGAAAAGCACAGCTTTACCCACCTTTGGAATCCATACTCGCCCTGGCGTTTCAGACTCTCAATATCCTTGCGTAACTTCTCCACCAGTAAGTTCACTGTCGCATTCTCTAGGAAACCAATTTCAGAAGCTTCAAGTGTTTTTAGTTTTTCAGTCTTTAGTGATTGCACTCATGACCATCGTCATGTGCAACTTATCTCCAGGAAGAGTTGGCATCGTTTTTAGCATTCAATCNAGCCCTACCCACCTTTGGAATCCATACTCGCCCTGGCGTTTCAGACTCTCAATATCCTTGCGTAACTTCTCCACCAGTAAGTTCACTGTCGCATTCTCTAGGAAACCAATTTCGGAAGCTGCAAGTGTTTTTAGTTTTTCAGTCTTTAGTGATAGCACTCATGACCATCGTCAGGGTGTAACTTATCTCCAGGAAGAGTTGGCATCGTTTTTAGCATTCAATCTCCTAGTTAATCTCAAAACTTGGTCGTCTCCGCTTGTTATATCGCGGCTATGCTGGAGAAGAAAGAAACGTTGAGTTGCGAAGACGAAAGGTTGGTGGTGAGTGTATATTACTAACAAAAGCCCAAAAGCCAGCAGCTGGGATTAATTAATTGTCGACTGTCAGCGGCTAAAACGAGCTGCATCCAATCTCAACAACAATATTAGGTGGTCTCTATCTTACCGTTAGAAAGGAATTAGAAGCTTCATTGTACCAGAAGTGCTTTTGAATTCTTTTCTATTCATAAAAATCTCACCTCATTTTCTTTTGGCTGGGCCCTTTGACGCTGAAATCCAAGAAAGCGCCATAGTGATGGGAAGAAAGAGCTCGTAACCTCGCTGATGAGGGTAACGACAAGCATGAGTAGTGCTAGACGCATCCTATAGAGCTGGAACTTATGTAGTGTATTCAGGTCTACAACCTCGTCAGCCATACAATGGATTACCGCAATACTTGGAAACGAATTGACAAAAAATGTCCTCGGGTAGGTTTACCGAAAAAAAGTTTTTCAAGTTATGAAGGTGCAATCTTTAGTAAAAATGCTGCTACGATCAGCTGTGGAAGGACGAAGGAGAGCTACTGGCTCACGAAGCTGTGCATTGTTTCCTTAATCTTTTAATCTGACCGTTGATTCAGCTGGACAAGAGCAAAGGAGCCCCACACATTATGAAGTAAATAGGGAGAGGAATAGCTGTAAACTTAGGAGGTGTTAAAAAATGTATAACCTACTCATACATCTTCACACACCTTCGAGCCAGAATCCTAATTCACTTTCAACAAGCTGGACGGATCCCGAGAGCATAGTGCATACCAGAAAAAAAATCGTAGAATCGTTGTTGAATATCAAGTTCTCGACGACCGAAGTGCTTTTTGGGGTAAGCTTCAAAGAGTTCTTCGTTATCATATTGCTTACTGGGGCCAATGTTTTTAACACTCTGTTAGAAGCAATAAGAATCGTAAAGGACCTTGAATGCTCAATAGGTCTATTACTTGAGTAGATTGGAGTAGGAAGCCATGTACAAGCCACTTAAATTTGAAGGTGCTAAACAGTCACATTCCTGGACGAACCAGTCGTACGATAAGTGTGAGCTAGGCTGGCCTGAGCCAACTTCATCCTGACAGTTCAAGTACGACACACATTACGGTGGACGAAGGGATATTTCATCTATTAACCATAGCAATATCGCTCGACACAACCCAACCTTCACTTTTATCAGAGATGAAGCACAATTTTCAAAATATTCGGCTTTATAAGCAGCACACCCCATGTGGCCGTAGAAATTATGAGAGAGAATTTGCATGAAGGATTCAGAAGAAGTCTTCATTTCCTGACTTCATTTGAATTTCTTCTGTGGTGGTTACTATCTATCATTCACGTTATCCACTAGAGGCGGAGCTGAACATGGTTTGCAAGCAAGTGCACTACCACTAACGTTGTTCGATCTGAGACGGTCTCATCGGACCTCATAACCCCGCCCACATTAGTAATAATAAGTTCTAAATTGAACTCACGTAAGAGCCAAACTTTTCCAAGCCTTACTAAGGATATAAGCTATAAAGAGTATTGGGAAAAAGCGTTCCATATGTAGTGGGAAAAACTTCACTCAGGTCGCTCAGAGAGTGAGATCCATAAAATGTGCAGAGTCCCTCAAAATATTTCGTTCCAGATCGGTGGTCACCCAATTACGGGAAGCCGTGAAAACTTCAAAGAGCTCTGATCCCTCAAAAAAGATAGAGAATAAGTAATTAGAACAAATAATGCTAAGCAAACGTACTGAGAAGGGCAGGAAGGATGCTCATACATTGTGTAAGAACTTCCTCAGTTTCAGGTGCAGAAATCTGCGCAAGGGAAGTGTAAATACTCATTCACCTTGGAACTACCCGATATTACAGCAATAAAAAGAACAGAAAGCAATGCAATGATATATATCGTCATTCAATATTAGCGACTATAAACAAATGCTTGAAGGCGAGCACGTGACTGTCCTCTGAAGAGTCGCGATAATTCAAAGGCCAAGTATCAAAGAAGCTGTGAATTTCTAGTTTCATCGCTTGAGTTACTTACATTGGGCTCAGCTCAATGCACATGCTGCTTTTGGTGTGCAACGGAAGCTACCTCGATTATTACCAGAAATCATCGTCAAGCGGTGGGTGAGAGAATCCTAAGCTTTTTACATTGGGCACTGAACAGACCAAAATGCTGTCTATCAGAGCTCTTCACCGTTCGTTCGAGAATGAGATCGGGATCTCAATCGCGAACTGATTTTTGCGCTTTCGCTTATGAAAAAATTGCTTCCTCTGAAACAAAAACAAGACAGCTCAGAACATTCGTAACAAAAGCATTGTTAAAGCCCCGGGAGCCACTGTTCTGGACACTCGAAGCAAACAGAGCGCTCAGTAAGAAGGGAACATAATAAACTCAAATTTTTAAACTAGTGATGCCTTTCAAGACTCCCTTGAGCTTCTCTAGACGGCAAGTTCTAGAATAGCGCTGTTATTCTAATGAATATGCTAATAGAAGAACTATTTTTACTTTTGGTTTTCGTAATTGCACTAGATCGAGGCAAGATAGCTTAAATGATTGAGCTTTCGACTCTTTCACAACACTTTTTCCTTGGCTATTAAGCCGTATTTTGCTTCGCCCTAATTGAACACGAACTTTTTTCAGCAGACATTAAGCATCGGTAGGTGGGATCTTTGAGCTGTACAGAACATGTGAAAGGAATTACAGATGAAATACATTTAAAAAGCGTACTCCAAGACATCATCGGAGCGATTGGTCTTTTTGGAGGGTTCCGACCGTTCCGCAAGTACGATGCGAGTATGAACCTCTACAGTAGGGCTCAAAGATGTTTCAAAGGGACTTCTGGTGTTCACTGATAGGTCACACAATTGGCATCAGTAACGGCCCAAATTTGTCAGAAAAGTTCAAGATTTGAGGTTGGTGAAGTCGAGCAATAGGAATGGGTTACACTGCACTACAGAAAATCATATCCTGCCGTTTCAGGACATTCCTTTCGTGATGAATAGTAAAAGTACCTGAAAAAAATATAGAAAGAAGAGAAAAATGAAGCCTTCCTTGAGAGTAAATGGAACTTAAGATAAAGTTTCGTACAAGGAGTGGTATCTGCAGAGCTACTCTAACGAATGAATCCTTTGAGTTATACAAATCTTCTGAAAGAGGCTCAGGACTTCAGGACACTGCAGTAGTTCCGTTGAAAGCCATGACGAAGGCAAGATTGAGAAATGCTGACATGTTGTTGAACAAATGCATAAAATGAATGCCAGAGAGGCACACGCTGAATTAGTTCACACAGAGACAAAGCTGAGATCGTGGGATGTTACTGATGCGCTATCTTATCCTCTCCAGCAACATCACTTATACGCCGACGTCTGCGGCACCATTCAATACGCCACTCATTCATAGACCAAAGTCCTTCTTCGTTCAATCCTGGATTTCAAAATCCAAGCAATTTCCGTGTGTGAAGCGCTGAAGTGATTCACCAGATAGTGGCATTTGAAATCAATTCTTTCCCTGACCGCCGACCTGCGGGCAACATCACGTCAGCGCCACTCTCGTGGGAATCGGTTATGTGCCCCGACGTGCGCAGTGTATTAAGGCGATCCCCTATCTTAAAGAGTGGTCTAATGGTAAGAACAAAGCTGGAATAGCTCTGTCCGCATGCTTTTGAGCGTTGCTGTAGTTTAGCCCCGAGCACAACCTGAACACATCAGTGATCTTCGGACACAGCGTCGTTTCCATCACACCCCCGTCCGCGACCTCAAGAGCTTTTTCTTATGTGGAACATAGTTTTTGTTAGTCATAACCACTTACATGAACCTCACATGGGTAGGACACTGGAAATAAATTATGGAGTTTTAAGCTTTGCCTTAATTCAGTGTCCAAACAATAAATTAAGCTTTTAAGCGCCGTAGACTAAGGATAGCGACTTTTAAGAAAACACATTAATGATTTCCGATTTGCTCTTCTATCATAGAATGGAGCTGTGGCATCCACTGGCTCCTCGTATGCCATATGTGACTCTGTTACATCGAAAAACGGCATAAATAGGGTGTAATAAGGGCTCAAGGATTGTATCCACTGTCT